TGCTCCAATTAAGTTTTTCCCAAATAAACACCCCCACTTTAAAAACACAAAATATATATATATATATATATATATATATATATATATATATATATATTAGGATCTAATTTATTTATTTTATTTTTTTTAACTAGGTCTGATGAATATCTTGAACCAACTGATTCTAAAAATAATTTTCAACTTCCTGCACCATCAACTCAAACTATCGATGATAAAAATGTTTTAATCAAAACAACAAGAAAATGGGAATGGTTAGATCCTGATTGGAATATAAGTCATGATGGAGATGTTGATAAAGATGGTTGGGTGTATACAGATAATCATTGGAAAAATCCAACTTCAAAAGGAGGTTTTGGACGATATACACGTAAAAGAACATGGGTTAGAACAGCGAAATTGGTTGAAAAAATTGAAAAAATTGAAAACAATGTTAATAATAGTAGTGATAGTGATAATAATAGCAAGGAGGAGGATAATTATGTTGATAATGCTGATAATGCTGATAATTATAATGACACAACAGGTAATATGAATGAGACTAGTAAATCAAAAGAAGAGGACAATAAAAAAATGTTAAAGTCGAATGTTGTTGAGGATGAAAAAGAAAAGATTAATCATAACAATAGTGACGATAACGACGACGACGATGATAATGATGAGAAATAAATAAATTTTTGGAAATAATGGAAGTGAAAGTAGATAAAGTTGGCAACTATATCTTTTCCAGCTAAAGATTTGTCTTCATTGGATACATACATATATATATATTCTTTTAATTTTCTTTATAAATATTTAATTACAAATAAAAGGAACATTGTTAATGTTATTGCATCTTATTATTATAGTTGATAATGACAAGATTTTTTTTTGAATGAATGCATTATCAAGCGTAAATCTGTGTAAATATTTGATTAAATTTGGGATCGCAATTGTTATTAACAATGCATTTGTTCTCAAATAGTTAGTTTGAAGTTCGTTCCGATTTACCATGATACACTCGACAATATCCCAAGTTTGTTTAATTTCTACAAAAACCAATCCCAAATTGATTAGAGGTATGTATATGGATTAAAGGTGCTTATTGAAATCGTATTTGTAATTATTCAGAAAGTCAAATAATCTTTGAGAAAAAATATTATTACAAATACTTGGATATCTAAAACCGTCATTCTTGACACACATTCTCGTGGTTATTATCTCAAGATTAAATTTTTTATACTCGGAATAATAATTAAGAGTGGTTTCCTTTAGAAGGAGAAGAAGAAATAGAATTTTCATTCTCGGTCGCAATTTAGTAGTCAAAGGTAATTAATTGAATCTATGAATTGAAACAAAAGAGGTCAATTAACTGATGCTTGCATATTTAAAATCAAGCATTTCTTTTTACTTTATCTCAAAATTTGTTATTAAATTATAATTCCATATGTCCAATTTTTAACTTGAGAGAATCCACAGCCAACGTTCAGTTTGAAGTGAACTATTATATATAAAAGTCGCGATTTTTCAAATTACTTGGTGCAACATTTCAATTTATCTATCTATCTTATCACTTGTATGAATCAATCAATCTAATACTAATTGAGATTTTTTTCTCCCACGTTTTTTAAAAAACAGCATTTATAGGATCTAAATTTTTTCTCCAAAAAATGAAAAAATAAAAAAATAACATAAACATTATTTATTATCAATCAATTAATTAACTTATTGAAATCGTATTTGTAATTATTCAGAAAGTCAAATAATCTTTGAGAAAAAATATTATTACAAATACTTGGATATCTAAAACCGTCATTCTTGACACACATTCTCGTGGTTATTATCTCAAGATTAAATTTTTTATACTCGGAATAATAATTAAGAGTGGTTTCCTTTAGAAGGAGAAGAAGAAATAGAATTTTCATTCTCGGTCGCAATTTAGTAGTCAAAGGTAATTAATTGAATCTATGAATGCGTTAATTTAATAACCAGATTTGGATATGTGGGGTTCGATGATAATCTACTATATGATGTTTTTTTTTTTAA